CAAAATCCAGGCACACCAGACAGTTGCTGTTCCTCAGATAAGTGTATCATCTTTACTAAAAATGCCTAGAGGGTATGACATTTCTGACTTAGAAATATTTCTTTGGTAACAATCTGCCTCTGCCTCTTCTCAGGGGAGGCTTTTAAATTCTTACTCTGGCAAAAGACACTGCATTAAAAATGTAAATGAAGTTTATTCAGAAGGGTAAATGTGGTAACTAGTGTCCTTTCAGTGACTTTACAGTGACTCATTCTAGACTTTCAAAAAACACATCACCAACATCACACACCACTATTGATAAGAGTAAAAAAAAGTTTCCTGTAATTTGAAAAGATGGAAACAATTTCTTTACTCAACAGTCAGTACTTGGAAAAGTTATTAAACAGAGGTCATAGAAAGGCTTCATTCTAAGGAAATAGTGCTGAAAGTTTAAACTGTGGGGGAGAGAACTAGCACAATCATGGATTTCCTTTACAGTTGTTCTCAAAGTAGGTTTGACATGATTAGAGATGGGGTAAGTGTGACAAAATTCTCTGAATCTGCCAGGAAACACATCAGGAGGAAGTGATGTTACTCCCTTGTCCAGATCAACCTAACAAAGAGAATAATGAATTCTTATAGATTGTTTTTGCTTTAAGATTACTCAGACCTAAAACCAGTTTTCTGTATTATGAGTGTGCTCTGTACCTCCCCAACCCAAACCAACCATGGATAGTTTTAAGAAGATGCTACAAGTAACCAGCCTGAATAGAAATGGAGGGAGATTAAGCTGCAGAGCAGAGACTGCAGCTGCCCCAGCTCTGTTTCCTCAGTCTGCCTACACTTTCACTGACCCTAGTCAGCTGATTGACTCTAGCTTGTAACTGATTTAACCTTGCCAGAATTTCTCTAAAGCCTCTTTTTCTCTCATTTAGTCTGTCCTTTCTTCAACTACTGCAGGGAAAGCTGGTTTGTTTACTTTTTGAAACCCAAAATACCACCAAGGGACCAACAGGACTGCCTGTATGTGATGGGAAGGAATCCTTGTTATTAGGCCAAAAGTGTAGCGAAGCTTGGTATACTTCTCTTGGAAAATCTTTCTTTAGGAAAGCACACACAAGCTAAAAGCAGTAGGGTTTTAAAGGCTGATACTAAGAAGTTAAAAGCATTTGCTTGTTGCAATTTGAAGGTATCAGACCAGTTCAGCTGAAAACAAGAAAGACTAGTTCCCTGAGAAAACAAACCTGACATTTTGCTGATTGACTATAGACATGGAGGGAGACAATATCCATTCCTTGGCCCTGGCTCTCTACATCATACAAAAGGATGGGACAAAAGGTATCAGAGAGTGCATGTAGCTTGGCCAAAACAAGTCATTTAGTTATAGGATGTGAACCTCTAACCTTTGTGAGAAAGTAGAACATACCATATTAAAGAGAAGAGCCTCCTCAGTGTGGAGGTACCAAAAAATAGCAGCCTAGCCATCAAAAAAATCCATCCTTCATTTGTTAATAATTTGCTCAAATGTCCTGCTCAAAGCCCAGAAGCCTGCTAAATACTTCCAAGTTATGTTTGCTTCCCAAGGGTTTTATAAGCTGAACTGCTAAGTGAGAGAAAAATAAGGAAAGGATAGAGAAGAAAAAGACTGACAAAATAAACCTTTGTTTATACATAACACTTCAGGGTTTTTCTTTGTCACTGCTAGGGCTTAGGTATGTGCAACATAAGTTAAACAGTTACACTTCAATTTTGTATTATTTTTGCAAAGGAATGACTGATGCATGTATTTTGTTTAAGAATACCCATTGTATGTTGGACTATTCCTTTCACTTCAGTATGCTTACAAAAGAAGCTTAAAAGCTTAGCATCAGGAACTGTGAATGCCTGACCAAGATAAAATGACATTCAGAATATATAAAAAATAACTTCCTAACATCATCATAAACTGACACCTTGCTGCAGAATTACATCTACTATTAAATTAGAGTTCTATCTCCTTCTCCCTCTCTGTCATTATTACTAACCAAAACTAAGAGTGACCTAGAAACTGTGATTTAAATCTAGCATTTGTCTGTATAACGTCAGATCAGTTCTTAATGTGGGAGTAGTGATACTCGCATTACAGATTTGACATGAGTGTCTTGCACTTACACCTACATGAACATTTAAAACAAAATGGCACAATTTAGGTTAAGCACTGCTATGGACCATGTGGACCTGGCACTGAATCCCTAGAGCTTCTTAGAAAAGCACCATCCCCCTCAAAAAAAGGAAGGTTATGTGGTAAGTTAACTTCCTCCCTTCATCTTTATCAGCTTTGAAACAATATGAGAAGCAGACCTATTTGTGACGCTCCATGTTAAAAGCACAATTACTTTGAGACTGACACCTATGCTCCAAGACTGACTAAATATAGTATTATATATTGCATTTCAAGTCATTAAGGCATGTCCGGATTAAAAGACCCTCTGCTCTCCATATGAGGTCACAGCAATTCCAGTGACAAGCTGAAGAGAACAGCAGGCAGCTCTTTCTCCAATGCGGAAGAAGTTATCTAGATTTTCAGTTTCCTTAAAAAGCAGCTTTTAAGCTCTGTTATCAGTTGCATGTTTATAGTTTACAAGCTTTGGGAGTTAATGCTTTCCAACTCCAGTATTACTTTTTTTTGGTGCAGGTGTTTTCAGAGGCCTTTGAGCATGCATACCCAAAAAGGAAGTTTTGATCTTAAGTTTCATATTTGCTGGCAAAATACACTGGTCAAAAATACCTATTTGCTTACAGAATCTTACAAAAAAAAAAATCTGTCACAGCCCAATAAAAGCATTTCAAGTCACATCTAGAGTGTCAAAGATAAGTAAATTTACATTAGAGGAACTTATTTCTGCTAAATTATGTTTGTTTAAAATGTTCTTATAAAGTTAACACTCAAAACCCGTATTTTACAACTGAATAAGTTGCGTTGCAGGCTAGTATAATTTTGAGATCAATATTTCACCAAAAGCCTAAGAGGAGAAACTCATTAAATTAGAAACATGAACCACAGCTGTAGAATGACTTCATACTTCAGTCTGTATACAAAGAAAGCACAGCCATTCTCATTTCTGCAGAAAATCAAGAATCTTACTAAGAGAGTATGGATCAAGAAATCAGTAACAGGTGATTATCTGAGAACAAAAAGATTGGAATTGGAAATGCACTTTAGTAGGAAACAAAGAAAAAGATCACCTAGAATATGAGAAAAACGGAAAAACATAACTAAGGATTGCATCATGCACAGTAGTAATTGCGAAAATGAAGGAGAGATGATGTGGATAAACAACTGAACATGAGACAGTGCAATATCATGACAAAACAGGGACCGTGTAATCTTTGGATGTATTAGCCAGAGTCATGAAACAGATTACATTCCTGCACTTCTTTACCTGTCTCATGACAAGATATTATAAAAATCTGCATGTAATTCTGGCACCCACAGCTTAAGCAGAAATATGAAAAGGGAATAGGAGAAAGCTATAAAATGATTGAGCACTGATAATTTGACCAGTCAAACAACAGAAAACCAAGTCTAGTATTTACTATTATTTTACTAAACCAAGTCTAGTATTTACTGTATTAAAATATGAAGACACTTCTAATTGGGTGACACCTATCAGAAAAAACAACTGATCATTATGGGAGACATCATTTTTTCATTTCATAAAATCAAGACTAGCATACTTTCTGAAAGACTTGTGTCAGTCAAACAATGGAAGCAGGATGGCATTTAAAGTCTGTGCTAAAGTAAAAATAATGCAAAATGAGTACTGGCTCCTCACCTACAAAATCACATTGTTTGAAGTAACCTTTAAACTTCCTTTTTTTTAAGTAAAATGCTAACATATGAGTAGAAGATTGACATAAACTCAGATACTCTCTTGTTATCTTACTAGATGATAAATGATTCATATGCAATGCTTACTGTACTTATCTAAGAATTTCTAATGTACTGATCACAGCATTATCTAAGCATTATGTGATTAAAAGAAATGATTGCTTTATCTTTTAGTAATTTAGTGCCTGCTGCTCTAGAGGAAGAATATTCAAAGTGAAAATTCTTTATGCAAGCTCCATTAAATTCATTTGTACATTCCATATATGAAGAGATTAAAAAAAATGCAAGTAGTTGAGAAATCATAGGAAAAAGGCAGCATCGACAGAATACAGTAGAATCATCGCATTGAAGAAAAAATTTCAGAGGGAAGAAAGACACTAGCAATACCAGTTTTTTTTTAAAAAAAGTAAACTAGAACTTAGGAAAAATAACCAAGAAAACCTTTGCAGATAGGCACAGCAGAATTCAGACAGGACAACAATATATGAGTATAGGAAATACAGACTACAGTACGACATAATGATTTCTCAAAGCCAAGAAAATATAAAGAACGGTCAATTCTGGTTCTCTCATCAAGGGTGCAGTGAGTTCACAGGACAGTGAAAGCTCCAAAAGGAACTGAAAGCATAAGGAACAACACAGGCCAAAGGATGCATCTTCACATCCTGCAGTGACATGGTAGCAGTAAATAACATTCCTGGTGTCAAGATTTACATAAAGGAAGTAAGAGTTCTACAACAAATCTTCCAATACTGGTCATAGCAGAATAGTAAGCACAGAAAAGAATGGTTTCTGGAATCAAAAATGTGTGCTTTTTTCAGATAGTGGATGTTTTCAATCTAAATTAATTAGTAAAAATTACCAATTACAAGACAAAAAACAAATACAGAAGTCAGAGTTAGAGAGTGTTGTCTATAACATGATGCTCGTACAGAATGAATTATTAACAGCGCACAAGTACACCCATAAGATAGATTGAAGGCCTTTGCTTATAAAGGAGGCACATTCAGCAATATAGCATTATCCCACATTGCAAAGCAGTGCCTTGTATTCAGAGTAGGTTTATAAGCAAAGTGGAGGAAGAAAAAACCCACAAAGTACAAAAAGTAATCCATAACAAGTTACCACATTTAATGCCATCACTTGTTACCTGGATTTCTAATTCAGCAATATGCTGTTGGAGTTCAGCTACAGCTGCAATGCGGTCTGCCTCACGGAGCCGTACTGCCATCACTTCTTCTTTACTCTGAAAAAGTAATAGGTTGAAGCTAACAAATAATATCAGTTTCAGTTGATTAAAGACTACGTACTGCTTTCACGCAACATCATGTAAGTGAAGAAAAAAAAATTTTCACACTGCTGTGTGAAATATCATACTTATTGATAAGGCATATTCTAAAGAACACAAATTTAATTTTAACCCATAGATTTATGTAAACATCTAATATAAATTGTAAGCTATAATAATATAAAAAAAATACCTGTGTACTTTTGAAAAGATGCTGTTACCAATTTCCAGGTCCAGAAAACAGCTGTTTTGTGTTCCAGAAATGTTATATTGTAAATTAAGAAAAGTAACAACGTAACAAAAACCAGCTGACTTTATATATAAACAAACAGCAAACCTACACAAGAGTTATTTATTTCATCACTCTCTTAATCTAAAAAAAATAAATTTTAAAAAGCCAAACCCAGAAGCACAGGTATTCTCAACCTCATTTAAGTCCAGCTATCTTAGTCTCCATATACAACAAAGATTTTCAAGACAATTTAGAATATTCTATCGTCTGTAACCTACAATCAGACTCCTGGTCTAAGTTTAACCTGTAAGTTTGCCTGTAAATAATACATAATTTGAGTTTGGACAAGAGAGAAGGAAATTTCCTTACTTCTATTTTATGAAGCAAGTCTTAAGACTTCAGAGCACAAACCAATTAATACTATATTGTCAGCAGCTTGGCATGACCACAGAGAGAAAACAGTGATAGAAATTGAATGAGCAATACTTTCAGCTGGAATGCAAGTAATTCTGTGGAAGAGAGACTAGGCTCAGGTATACCTGTTTTTATGGCAGACTGGTATAACTCTGCAAACTGTGTGCTTCAAACAGACAGTACTTAACCACCCTTCATTAGACAGGTTGGTTAAGACTGAATTGAACATGCCAAAGCTCCTCTTAGTAACTACTTGAAAACATGCTGCTCATTTTTAAAAGAAGATATCATCTACAGGATCCAGCCAATAGCATTTGTAATCACTGGAGTCCATTTCAGATGAATCCATCATGTGCTAGCCAAAGTTTAGCCATTATTGCTAAATTCTGCTGCATGATTGCTCGAATGAAGCCAAACCCACAAATCCACAGGATTGCATGTATTTAACTGAAAGCTAAAGGACAGACTGACTTCGTTTGACTTTGGTATCTGAGATGAGTCAGTGTTGTCTAGATGGCACTGATGCTTTATCTCTGAAACAGACCATGTTCTCAATAATTACCACAAAAGTTGGTATGGGAAGGAAGACAAGACTGGGGTGGGGACACAAATCTTATGTTGTAAATTCTTTAGCAAAACTGATTAGAAAGATCAGTGCTGTGCTTCAAGAAGCAATTTTAAATTAAGTCCTTGCTGTAGAAGCAGTAGTCAGCTAAAAAAGGAAAAGCGTAACAGTACACACCAATGACAGACAACAGTTGCAATATAGGTGGTATGAGATGCAGCTTGCTACAAAAATTTTAATTTCTGCTTGCATATTTGAAGTTATCCTTTAGAACAAACAAACAAACAACAAAAAAACCCACACCAAATAATAATAAAATAAATAAATAAATTTTAAAACACAAAAAAAAAAACCAAGCTCCAGAAATAACATACTAGTTCTTTCTGCATAGAAAAAACAATCAGGGAGTTGAAAACCCAAAATATATGAGTTTTTTTGATACACGTCTTCAAGTAGAAATACTGCTACCTAGCCAAGATGCAGTGAGAGAAGTAAAACCAGAGCATCATTTCAGATGACTTGAAACAATGGAAGAAAAATCAAACATCAGTTTCTAATGGAACTGAGAATAACAAACCTACAAGATTTAAGGAGATGCAAGGTGGAACTTTGAAAAGTATTTAGTGCTACCAAAACTAGACATTTGTCTGTATTGCTCCATGACATTACCCCAAATATGACTGAAACTTTCTTCTACATTTCTGAATACAAAGTTGTTATATCAGTAACACAGTAAATAGCTTTATTTCAGGTATTTACACAGCCTACTGTCTTTCCAATTCAACGTACCTGTTATTATCTGCATTTCAAGCCAAATCTAAGTTGGTAGCAACACTATTTAATAAAAGTACAGATACTGAGCCTACTTCTAGGACTGTAGCTGTGACAGGTCTGCTGTTAATGCTGGAGGCCAGCCCTTCACACTTGTAACAATATGCCTTACATAGTAGCCATAGGACAAGCCGGTTTCTTGCACACCCAGTTAGTATAAAAAAAAGCCACTAACGCTGCAAGGTTTTGGCTTCACAAGCATAACTATGTTTCCCTTTCTACTTTAAACATCAGCTTTTATTTTTTTCTTTCAATTCACTTTAACATTAAAAGGTTATTTAGCATAAAGGTTATTTCACATAGTGAAAATAATAATAATCCCAAGCAGGAATTTCCTTCATTTATTGTGGTGCAGAGGTGGGGAAGCAGGAACCTAAACCAGCATCTTCTGTAACAAGGAAAAGTGAAAGCATTTGTCATGAATCTTAGATTAAGCTAAAACTCATGCTTCCAGTAGTTTGCATGTGAAGAGGAAGGGACAGGAAACAGAATGACAATCCTTACAAATCAACTGTCAAAGCACAGTGGCTTTTTATATCCTCTCATTTTTCACTTGACTTGGTATTGAGCTTCCTACTGCTGTTTCCAACGTATGAAAAACTTTCCAATTTCAAAGTCTAACTATACGATAATATATAGTTATGTCCCATTTAAGGAGTGGGAGAACACTTAAACTTGCATATATTGTTTAACATGGCTCAATTTTTGCATTGACATGGCATCCTTATTAAATCTGTAAAATATTGCTGAATTGTTTGTACAAATTATTAGAGAATAAAGTCATAATGACAGTTCATGACAAATGCCAGAGGTAGAAGGAAAAGGGAATATGAGGGGAAACTATGTTCAAGAAATGTAATTTCCAACAAATGAAATTTGAGCATCTTTCAACAGTTAGCAGAAAAAGAGCCAACTTGTGTATTTAAATAGTACAGGAGTCTATATGGTATTATACGAAGCCTCATCCCAAGAAATCACACTCTAGCTCGCAGTTAAACAGTAGAACTCCAGGTAATGTATATGCAAATTGTTAACATTTTGTTTTATATCATAAATGTCAACTTGGAAAACATGTTACAATGTAAACTGTAATCTTTTTCCTATCAGTGACTGCAAAACAAGTTTCAGGATCTAATGTTAGTGTGTGTCAGTACCATGACTTCGCTGGCTGTAGACCACTGCTACTTTCAGCGAATCTCTAAAAAATATGACTGGTGCTCTGCCTATATCACACTTTCCTCTAACCCATGTTAGAACATAACTTTCCAAGCAAATTACCTCAGTAAGAATAGTCGTGCATATTAGCTCATTAGTCAGGTTAAAGACATATTACTCTTTTTATAGTCAACATAAAGACTTCAGAATATTGACTGCGCCCTCTCAGTGTCTTAAGGACTGATGATAACCTTCAGTATCAAATACCAATCAAACAAAACCATTATGGATTATATGAAAAGACATGTCACCGAGATCATGGATATTTAAAAAAATAAAAATCAATAAGAATAATCTCAGCATTAAAAAAAAATAGTGCTTAGGAAACCAGTGATTATGGTAAACAAAAACCAGCCAGTAGAAGCAATTTTTTCTAGTTAAGATTCAGTTCTTGTTTACTAAAAGCCTGTGACAGAGTCTGATGAGTCAGTAGAAGTTGTCTTCACCACATTCACCAGATTCAGGCTCCACTGGAAACAAATGGAACTGGACAGATAGCAAGAAAAATGAAAACCTAAAAGAACCTGAAATTCCCGGAGTACATCTCAGTGATTTACTGTCCTTAAATTTCTTTAAAATGGAACTGAGCAACAAAAAACAACGTCATTTTTCCTGAAAGAACTTTAACTAAGGCAAAACTAGCAAGAAATTGTGGATTACACATTACACACTATGGCTTTGAGTGATGAACACAAGATCAGAGTTTACTACACAACTAAATAGCCTAGATTTATGCATTACTTTGGAGAAAAAAAATTAAAAGAAGAAATGAAAATCTGTAAAAGCTAAGAAGTGTGATGTTATAGCAAAAATACACATATTAATAAGGATGTCATTTCATCTCCAGGCTAAGTGACAAGGATACACCACTCAATCTACACTCCAAATTCATATTAGCCACAGAAACCTTTGATGGAATTGAAGATAATGCAGTCTTTGGGGTATGCATGGTGTTACAATTGAAACTGGACAAAACTGAAAAACAAATGCTCAACCAATAACAGTATTCTGCATGAATGCGAACAGAACCAAGTAGTGCACATAAAGGTCCAGTTACATTAAAGGTAAAACTAAGAGGTGATCCTGAACAACAAATTATATAATAGCATCTGCTCTCAAGTTGTCAATTCACAACACAGTTTAATAAATAGTATTCTGATTATTCATCTCATTACAGTACTATTTTTAACATACTAATAAGTATCCTATTTAGAAATTACTGACTGTTCAGCACTAGCTGATCTCATAAAGGACTATTCATACATCTTTCAGAAGTAAGATTTAAGTAAAAAGTTGCTTTAATGTCTCTAGTAAATAGTATCTTAACTATAGTGATTTGTCCACTAATACTGACCTTTTCAAAAGTAAGTATCAGTAGCAATTTCAGGAAAATTTTCATCCAAGTTAAGAGGAAAAAAGCTTGTAAGACTTATCCTTTATTTCTTGTCCATATTATGTGTGCACAAGTTAAAGACATAAGTTATTAGTAAATGGTTATGGATTTAGTTACAAAATTAACTAATAAAATCTGAGATTCAAACATCAGATTGGGCTCTCTTGTGCATTGACAATAATAAACACAACTCTTGCCCAGTGTTTTTGGGCTGTCCCCTAAAAGTCTGGTTACTATTAGGCAATGACTACTGTAACACTCCCATCTGTAGGCCTCTCCATTCAAATACTACTTTTACTCCCCTTTTTTTGAACCTAAACAAATTCTGCAGTAATAGTCAGGGCTGAAGTAGTAAACCTCTTCTGTCACTAAAGACAACAGTGATCAGAAACTGTTGTGTAAAATGTCTTTTTATATAGTATACACATATACTTTTCTGAGTAGAACCACATTTTAGAAGTTTATCTTTGTGGGACCACAAAGAAGCAGCTCTGTCAAAACCTCAAGTGATTTTTGTGAGGTGGTAAATTCAAGATGGTATTGTCAAATCAGTAAAAGAAAATTTTGGTTTTGTGATTTCTGCTTCTCAATTAAGACACAATTCTATCCAACAACAGCAGACAAGACTAAAAAGTAGATATACATTAGCACACAAATACTCTATTCATGATGTTGTTTACCTTGCATTCAATCTCTGCTTGTCTACGTTTTGCTTCATTCAACTGAGCAAGAAGTCCTTTGTTCTGTGCAGAAAGGTACTGTACCTTCCCCTGTAGGTTGGTAACCTCTTGTTCTGCCCTTCGTAAATGGTTACTATTGATCTGATTCTGAAATTTATGACAAAAAAAAAAAAAGAAGAAAATGCATGTTAAGGAATGATCTTTTATATTAACTCCCTGAAGTCTGACAAAAAATATTTATAGTTCAACTACTTTAAAAAACTTCTGATGAAAAAGCATTGGGAATTTTCTAACTGTAGTCAGAAACGTTTGCATGACGTTTGGTTTATGACCAGGATATTCAAGTAGTTGTTAAACAACAGATCACTCATTGTAAGAACATTACTGCAAAGTTCCTGTATGTCTTTTCTCTTGCTTGGGTATGGGAAGGAATCTGTGAACTAGTGTCCCAACTACAGCAACAAGGTAATGCATCCAAAAAACCATCAGGTATGTCAGAAATATTATGTGAGCATTCCTGAAAGTAACGTGGCACCTTAATTGAGGTCAGCGCATTAGTACAAGTTACACCATTTTTATATGAAGCTGTACAGAGACTGGTACATAATACAAGAACCAATACATTTCTGTCAAATGATAGCTCAACAGCATAAGCACATACAAAGATGATGCATAACAGTGAAGTGAGAAGTATCTAAAGGTCTTGTGGCTTTAATACATGTAATCCAGACAACAGGATACCTATGCCCCCTACTGACTAAAATACACAGCCGGGGAAAAAGCAACAGAAGCACACATTAGACTGTAGTGAAACAGTATCAACACTTCAATTAAAATTTTAAAAGTTAAGGTTGGAGGAAACTTATTATTCAGTTGGTATGAAGAAGTGGTGCCTCTGTCAGAAATAAGCCACTATGTGCCTTGCAGTTAGCTCATCTCTCTTCAGCAGCACATCCTCACGTGCTCTTCTGGTTTCTGGGATTGCTGAAGCTTCTCAAGCAGTTCGTGTTTGTTTAGCCTTTTGGATGCACAGGTCTCCTTCAAGTAAGTTAAATTTAGCAGGTATTTCACATGAAGAATTCTCAAAAGCCTGTTACAAACCCTTCTCAATCAACAGCACGTTGTGTGTATTAATTCAGTTGAAAGTTCACTAATATAATATGAACTCACCAACTTCAGTGCACTTTCATTTCAGACTTGTTTGCTTAATAACAACTTATTTCCTAGTTACACAAAAAAAGCTCTTGGGAGACAAGTTATTTTTGTCTTTTCTGCATATATCACAGTAATGGTGAATCGTGCTTTTCTTTTCTGACACATGAAAGGTAAAGCTTCTGCTAGGAAGACCTGACAACATGCAGGTGTTTTGCAGAGAGTCCACAGTTTAGTAACCAGACTCATGACCTCGGTGTGTAATCTACTGCAGGCAATTTCACCAGGAGAAAGAAAGCAGTCATTTAAAGAATTATAATTACTATTATTAGAATTGTCAACTAGGTTTGTGAAATTTAAAATACCTTAAATGTATTTTTATTGTTACACCAGTTACAATTTAATGAATTAAGATTCATACACATTCACAGAGTCTACCAATTAGTCTAAATGAGAAATTCAGAAAGCTTACTAAAGGAAGTTGGACTGTATGAACTAGATTGTCTAATAACATTTAAAAAAGCACATTTTGGAACTGAAGTGATGCCTGTAGATGGCAAAGATTATCATCGGTTCTCTACAATTTGGCACCAATTTGCCATCATTCATCTCAATTCACACATGCTAGTGTTCAGTAACATACCTGTGTTTCCATCTCCATCATTCGTTGTTTGGTCTCTTTCAGTTCAGCCTGAGTTTCTGCTTCTCTCAATCGAACTGTCATCAGCTCATCCTGTAGCTCATTCACTGTGTTTTTTCTGGGAGGATCTTTCCATCTTCCAGTGGTACGAGCTAGATGACGCTAAAAGAATAGCATGCCATTGCTGATAATGCCTGATCTTTCCTGGTGTTCCCTTATTTCATTTAAGGTCTCAGAGTTATATGGGGACAAGATGCTATAGTGCTCCTGTTTATCCTAAAAACCAGAAACCCATGGAAACTTAGTAGTTTTAAGAATAGACAACTAAAAAGTGAAGACAGTCATTGCCAACTACAGTAAGTCAGTGAATTGAAAGTATATCCTGAGACTTTTGCCTGTTTCTAGCCCTTATTAACATATAGTGCAGTAGGAGTACTGATCAGGTACTCCCTTTCTACCAGAATGGTCAGCTGGTAGCACAGGCTCTGTCATCTGTAAGAAGTAGAGAACAATTTCTAACACCTCGCAACTAAAGTTTCTTGTGGCAGCTGCATCTAAAGATCTTCTCACTTCAGTGACTTGATTCACAATCACTAGTTTCTACTTGATCTCTACACAACATTTAGTAGTCTTCTGCTTTATCATCATGCATTGAAAATAAAAATTGTTAGAAGTGTATTGCTACCCATACCTGCCAATGTTCCTCCAAGTCCTTGACTTGCTGCCTTAGTTCTTTGAGACCCATCAGAGCTTCTGCTTCTCTTAATTTTACTGCAATCAGTTCTTCTTGTAGTCTAGCAACATTTTCCTCATCAGGGAGTGAGCTGTTCCTCTGCAACAAGGACCATCCTCTTAAGTATGTATTTGAATAAAATTGTGCTTAGTGAGACCCACTCCAAAAATAATAGACATGGAATGGTAATTCTTATTACTAAGAAAAGTTTTTTAATTACACATCCCTTGCAAAACAAAATCCCTCAAAAATCTAAGTTCCTGGATACAGCAATTGCATGTGTATGTCTTCCAACTTCCAACTACAGAAAAAAATTGACAAGGTAGTTTTAGATATTCTGACTTCCAGATTTCCCCAAATGGTATCCCTAACACAGAATTATTTATACTATTTCCCACACATCATCAAAAATGTGGAGAGAAATCTGAAATGTTTTGAGCTAGCTGACAGAAGCAAATGGGAGACTGAAATTACACCTTTAGATTTATAACTTTTTTTTAGACTTACAGGAAAAATAATAAAAGGAAATATATTCTTTTGGGAAGTAGGACATCTGCCTTTGAAAAGGAGAAAAGGTATGTCAAAGGAACGATCCGTTAGTATTTATAAACAACCACCAGTCAAGAAAAGGTCTTACAGATGAAATTGCATGGATGTTTACAAAAACACACCAGGAGAAAGTGGAAAGACTAGAGAAAGCTAAACAGAAAACAGGAAAAAACATGGCAGGAGTGACCTGGGGAAAGTAAAACAGTAATGGAAGCATAGTAACAGAAGTCTGGGAAAAATACAGAAGACAAAGGATATAGTCTGCCTAACTACAATATCCCTACATCAAATCACTGGTAACCAAATATTCGAAGTTGAACTGTACTTCATCACTTCCTACTGTATTTCTCAGTAATTTTCAGCAAAATCAAGTATTTTTGTAGATATGTAATACTGTGACAGTTGCTAGGCTTTCTTGAGAGTTAAGTACATTACTGACATTAACAGAACACAGCACAACAGCCATTTATTAGCATCTCCATGTTTCAAAATCATGGGATACAAGTACAGGCAAATATAGGAAGCAGTAAGTTGTGTTTCTGAATGTTTATGTCACTGTCAGTATAGCCATGGAAGTCCTAGGTTATTGAGCAGAATTTTCCCAGATTACATGACATCACTAACAGCAGTAAAAAGATGTATTTGTAAGAATTTGAGGGAATTAACTTCAGTCACTTTCTCATGTGCCTAAGTTCATAATAACAGACTGAAATACTACTGTACATCTGGGTTTGTCTGGTACACTGGAATATCCCCACTGCTCCATTTTTTCTTCACATTTACGTTTTCAGTGTATGCTATATTCATGCTGACTGTCAAGCAGTCTCTTTTTCGACTTCAAAAAATACCTTAGGTCCTGAATTCTTACCAGTGTTCAGTACAGTAAAAACTACCACACTATTAGCCTGTCAGACACCCATCAAGCCCCTCAGATAATTAAAAAAGTAAAACTTTGACTCCAGTGTGTTAATCTAATTAGCTAGTAAGTTCTGGCCACATTCCTGAGTATACATATCTCTAAAATTTCCATGAGGAAACAATTTCCAAAGCCAATGAAACAGGATCTAAAAAGTGTGCTTTATGATAGGTCAATTAGTGGGTTTTTTCTTTCATTTTTTTCTATTTTATTTTGCAGTAAAGTTCTTTAAAGAAAGGTAAGTGTTTGACAGTTGGTTTGAATACATCTTGAAGTCTGGCATTAGTAAATTACAAACAGAGATGGCCAACCCAAAAGAAGCAGTAGAGATTTTGATACTAAGCAGTGGAGGTATTCTTTCCCTGCCCATAATGGGACAAAGTAGGAGACACTCAGGAACTAAAGACCTGGGAATGGTAATGTTGAACTCTTTCCACCACCCTGCCCAAATTATTGAGTTTCACATCACCTCAATGCTCACTCTAAGCCTACTGCTCTTGTTGCAGGATATAATTTTGGAATAGTTGATGTTCACTGTAAGGACTCCACCAGAATCCAAGTTTTCCACTGCAGTGGGCTTCAGGAACAAAAGAAAAGCAATCTGTTCTTCACAAATCTTTTCCAGTGCAAACGAACCTTAGATTTTTTTTTTCCATATTAACTTCAGGTTTGAAAAGCATCTTGCAGTTGTGAAAACACAGAAGAGAAGAGTCTAGAGCACAGTTATGCAAAGAATTACAGGGATCTGTATTCTGTTTCTAATTCTACTTCATACGGAGGATCCTGGTTAGATTTACCTTTTCCATCTCTAGAACTTTATCTTGCATGTCCTTCAGGGCACAATGGGATTCTGCTTCACTCAGCCTGGCTTGGACCAGCTCTTTTTCCAGCTGTAGCACAAAGTCTTCACTGTATTGTGAACTGCATTTATGCTACAAAGTTTGCAGAAATACGTTTAGTATGAAGCACAGATTGTTTGAAAGAGGGTTTATATGCCAGATTTGGAGTGAAAAGTACATTAAAGTGCTTAACATTAGGCATACTATCTTAAGATCAACAGAAGTGCTTACCTTATACAAGTCTATTAACGTGTCCATCCAGACTACTAACAGTAAGAACCCTAATGCTATGCCTCTCAAACAACTGCACCTCCACACAGCCAAATGGGTAAAACCAAACTGAGACCCCTATTAGTACTAATGAGCAACAACTCACACTCTTCTCTCATTGTTACCCAAAATGGCAAATTCTCAAAGGATCTGTGATTATTTTGTGATATGCAGAAAAAGATGCTTAGGAAAGACTAGCTAATTACAAGGTTAACACAAGTATCTCTCTTGGTCCCTACTCACTTCAACTCCCATTCAACAGAAGCCTTCCATAATCTTGGATTTAAAATAAAGCCACATGTGCTTCAATGCACAATCACTTCGGTTTGCCCCTTTCTTCCATTCCAACCCTTGGCTCTTACTTGCTCACACTGTACATATTCCTTCTGAGATTCTCTTCCAGGGCAAGCCCTGTGGATTTATGAGAAAATCCAGGCACAAGTGGCAGTATAGCCCCTTCTAGACAGACAGCATAGGCCCAAGCTACAAAGAAATGTGGTTCTTCCCATACAGGACTTCTCCAAGATGATCCACAGCCAGATTTGCACACCCAAACACATTCCCATGGTAAGAAAACAGCAGCTCAGAGCTTAAGATCATCCTTTCCAAACTTCAGGCAGAAGGGGAAAAAAACCACAGTTCTGCTCAAGTAAGTTAATTCACCATTAACTTATTTCTTGACTGTTGAATAGTTGGAATTAAAAGTGAGATCTATCCTTTTACTTGCTAAAGCACAATTTCATGAAACTGCATCTTTCAACAAATACATCCAACTGAAGTCATGCTAAGCATTTGTACTCAAAAGCCCCGCTTAACATTTTACTCCAGTCAATACTTATGAAATACATTTTATTTCTTTCTTAGACCACTTAAAAATAGCTTGAGATTCACCACAGATTGTCAGACTTGCTTGATAGGCCATGCCATCCTAAACCAGCATTTTAATTTCTGATTTATGAAAAAAAAAAAATGGGCATTGAAATCCCCAAAGCACAGTTGCCTGGTTACTGTGCACACACAGCTACCTTGAAAATTAGATTTGAAGGGAAATCATTTGACACATCTTTAGTGCTATTAACTACATTGTGAAGAATAAATACTATACTTGGATTCATAGATTAAGTTTTTTATTCAATTAACAGTGCAGCTTTAAAATCCACAGAGCATTCATTATACTGAAGATACAACCATTTCTTACTTGATTTTATGTTTACATCAAACAATCTAGTTTTCTGCATCTAAAAACAGTTGACAAAATTAACAGAAAAGTTTTCAGTACCATATGCTTCTCTTAGAGTGCGATATCCCCTGACCTTTAATGCACAAACTCAAGGCAAACAGGACAAAAGGATTTACATGTAGCTACACGGTCAAGAAAATTGTTTTAACTTTACTTTTACACTTCTGCATGCCAACTAAGCCTTTCATCATGACTTGGCAGTACAATCCAGATTTAAATCTACACTAACCCACCTTAGTGTTAAAATTTATTGTGTTTCTTATATATATGCCTACAAGGAGCTATAATGGAGATAATATATACAAATCATTAAATGGCAAATACAGCTCATGCAGGCAGTCTTTAGTGTCACTGAGACTATCTATTTAAGTGCTCATCCTACTTAAGTGTGCAGCTGAACACACACAGAATACTGAATGTACAAAGATCATAGTATATTTAATATTCTTTTTCCCTTATACAACACTAATTTAATACATACTATTTGCAACCCACATAGTGTTTTTGCCTAGCAAGCAGTGGAGGTAGCCCTGATTTGAGCGGAAGGAGGGAATGGGTGGAAAACGCCAATGCATTTCTACAACTGCTTCATGTGATACGGGAGCATGAGTAGCACATGTAACAACATGCCGAGGCACAGAGAGGCAACAGCTCGCTCTTACACCCTGGCTGTTTGTACAAGTTCATCAGATGATACACACAGCAACTTAAATGGGCTCTACACTTCTGGTTCCAGATTCTGCTTATGATACATGTGGAATGAGAAAAAATGCAGTGTTCTTTCCTGAGGTAGGAAACCCTCTTATACTCTCCAGGAAATGGAGAGAAAACAGCAGATATGAAGGGCTGAATACATCCCGATTTTGCAACACTATGTAAGTGTCCTCTAAATAGTTTTGGACTACCAAAATCTAACTGATGTTTGTCAAATAGTAAGTAATGGAGAGAGTAAGAGAACTTACTTAGCCAGTTTCAGGCACAAGTCACACCTTCTTTAAATCTGTCTTTAGATTTCACCTGCCTAAGGAATGTTACAAGTACTTATCTATCTAGCCACAACAAACTTTAAATCAAGTCTTGATAGACTGGCAAAAAAATACAGCAAAGATCAAAACAGATTTAAAAAACAATAGTCACAAGTTCAAAGCTGTGATATTTGCTCCTTAAAAAAAAACCCACAATTTTAATAATTTAGTATATAAAGGTAACACGAGTTCATAGTCAAAACAGTGTTTGAAAACTACTTTAAGACTGACTTCTTTAGCAAAAAATCTGCTTTTACATATTTGCTTTAAGCCCTAGAATTTGTGACAAAACCCACAATATGAATCCAGATTTCCAGGCACCAGCCACATGTTTTAACCACAGTAACACTGTTTTTTGGCTGTGTTGAAAAGATGTCTGTAATATAACGCACTAGAAATGCAGTCCTACAGCCATTTACTTATGAAAGAAACAAGTCCTTGTTTGGCTTCACACAACTGGATTTAGTTTCCCCCAACTTTTTGTAAAATAGTAAAATCTCAGAGACTGACATAACCGTTCCTAAAATTATTTTGGCCGATGACAGATTATTACGTGTAATTACAGAATGCTTTTCCAGTACTCTATACTAAAGGGCAGCTAACAAATTGTTCAGCAGCTGCCCAGCTAATTTTGTTTACACGTTTAAGCACTAACTGTAGTACTTTAGTAAATACAGTATTTTTGTTTTCTGCTTTTTGGTTGCAAATCAGAACATAACATTTAGAAAGTATATTGTAAAATAAAGTGAAGCCTTCCATAAGGTTGCAACACCCATTCAGAAGCCTATATTCCCTATATCAATTATTATGCTCTTATTCCCACATGGTGGGATGGCTCCTATGGCTGGAGTGTTGGAATGGAAGGATACAGGCTCTTTAGGAAGGACAGCAAGGGGAGACGAGGAGCAGGGTCCGCTCTATATCAATAACCAGTTGGAGAGCGTGGAGCTGTGCCTGGGGATGGGTGAGGAGCTAACTGAGGTCTGATGGGTCAGGATTAAAGGGAAGGCAGGGACAGGACACATTACAGTGGGGGTCTGCTACAGGCCACCTGACCAGGGAGACCAAGTGAACAAGGCCCTCTATAGACAGGAACAGCCTCATGTTCACAGGCTCTGGACCTCATAGGGTACTTCAACCACCCTGGTTTCTGTTGGAGGGACAACACAGCAGGGCACAAGCAATCCAGGAGGTTCCTGGAATGCACTGATGATAACTTCCTTCTCCAAGTGACAGAGGAGCCAACAAGAAGAGTTACTATGCTGGACCTTGCTCTCACCAACACGGAGGATCTGCTGACAAGTGTGAAAATCAAGGGCAGCCTTGACTGCAGTGACCATGAAATGGTGGAGCTCAACATCCTCAGGGCAGCAACGAGGGTGCACAGCAACCTCGCTACCTTCGACCTCAGGAGAGCAGACTTTGGCCTCTGCAGGGATCTGACTGACAGAGTAGCATGGGGTAAAGCCCTGGAGGGAAGAGGGGCCCAAGAAAGCTGGTTATTAATCAAGGATCACCTCCTCTAAGCTCAGGAGAGATGCATCCAGACAAAGAGGAAGTCACATAGGAACGCCAGGAGGCCTGCGTGGATGAACAAGGAGCTCCTGGACAAGCTCAAACACAAAACGGTAGCCCTATAAAGGGTGGAAGCAAGGATGGGTAGCCTGGGAGGGATACAGCGGAACTGTGTGAGCAGCCAGGGATCAGGTCAGGAAGGCCAAATCCCTGGTAGAATTAAATCTGGCCAGGGACGTCAAGGGCAACAAGAAAAGCTTCTATAGATATGTTGGTGATAAAAGGTGAAGGAAAACACGGGCCCTCTCTGGAAGGAAATGGGAGACTTGGTTGTCTGGTATATGGAGAAGGCTGAGGCACTCGATGACATTTTTGCCTCAGTCTTCAATGGCAAGTGCTCCAGCCACACCATCCAAGTGCAAAAGGCAAAGATGGGGACTGGGATAATGAAGAACAGTCCACTGTAGAAGGTGGTCAAGTTCGAGACCAACTAAGGAACCTGAAGGCGCACAAGTCCATGGGACCTGATGAGATGCATTCATGGGTCCTGAGAAAACTGGCAGATGAAGTGGCTAAGCCACTATCCATCATATTTGAGTAGTCTGGTGAAGTTCCTGCTAGCTGGAAAAGGGGAAACGTAACCCCCATTTTTAAAAAGGGGAAAAAAGGAAGACCTGGGAAACTTCAGGGCAGTCAGTCTCACCTCTGTGCCCAGCAAGATCATGGAGCAGGTCCTCCTGGAAACTATGCTAGGCCACATGGAAAATAAGGAGGCGACTAGTGACAGCCAGCAGGGCTTCATTAAGGACAAATTGTGCCTGATGAATCTGGTGGCCTTCTACAATGGGGTTACAGTGTTGGATAAGCAACTGACGTCATTTGGCTGGATTTGTGCAAAGCATTTGACACTGTCCTGCACAACCTCCTCCTCTCTAAATTGGAGAGACATGGATTTGATGGACGGATCACCTGGTGGACAAGGAACTGGCTGGATGGTCACACTCAAAAGAGCTGTGGTCAACGGCTCAATGTCCAAGTAGAGA